GGGTCCTGGGATTGAGCCCCGTGTCAGGCTCCCTGCTCTGCGGGGAGTCTGCTTCTCCCTCTGCCACTCCCCCAGCTCATGTTCTCTCTCTCTCTGTCTCTCAAATAAATAAATAAAATCTTAAAAAAAAAAAAAAAAGGTACAGGGTCATCGGGGTGGCTCAGTCTATTAAGCATCTGTCTGCCTTCGGCTCAGGTCATGATCCCAGGGTCCCGGGATTGAGTCCCACGTCGGGCTCCCTGCTCAGTGGGGAGCCTGCTTCTCCCTCTCCTCCTTGCTCATGCTCTCTCTCTCCCTCAAATAAATAAATAAAATCTTTAAAAAAAATGCAAGGAGGGCGCCTGGGTGGCTCAGTTGGTTAAGCGACTGCCTTCGGCTCAGGTCATGATCCTGGAGTCCCGGGATCGAGTCCCACATCGGGCTCCCTGCTCAGCGGGGAGTCTGCTTCTCCCTCTGACCCTCTTCCCTCTCGTGCTCTCTGTCTCTCATTCTCTCTCTCTCAAATAAATAAATAAAATCTTTAAAAAAATAAAAAAAATTAAAAAATGCAAGGAGCACATGGTTAGCTGAGTTGGTGGAGTATGCAACTCTTGATCTTGGGGTCGTGATTTCGAGCCCCTCATGGGGTGTAGATTACTTAAATAAAACTTAAAAAAAGGAGCATATTATTATATCACAGCCTTGTTTAATATTTTGATAACCACATTACTTCTTCTGTAATACAACTTATGGATTCCTAAATATGTCCACACAGTGCAAAACTATAAAATAAAAACCACACAGCTTACAGGAAAAAATGGGGTTAGGAGCATAACACTCACACACTTTGCCAATGATACATTTTTTTTAAAAAAGGACAGGAATGTAATCAAAATGGTAGGAGTTTTTATACCTGTTGGGTGGTTAAGAAATACATAAATACAGCAATAAATATGGCACTTTATCTGGAAAGAGACCTAAAGTTTGCATGTAGAATTGGGTGTCAGGGAGATGGCAGCTTGTGATTCACTGGGAAGTGGCAGGAAGGTAATCTGATGGGAAGTTGTAACGGCAAATGTGGATGGGTGTGGCTTATAACACACAGGGAAGCTAGGGGGCCAGCGGATGTTTGAGGGGTGCATGTGGATGTATGTATTCCTGCATGCTGTGGCTCAGTCCATCTGGGTACAGTTAACCTAGTGTTTCTCGTGGACAAAGTTGCACATGAATAAATTCAAACTTCACATTATGCCCAGATTGTTCCCTAATATATCGGCTATGTCGGAACAACTTCATATTTTCAAAACAAGTGTTATAACAGAACTGACCGTCCTTCAGTATGATCTACCTGACAGACTCCTCCTACTCATTCTTATGGCCTCAGGCTCTTAACCTCTTCTGTAGGATTTTATGTTAAATTCCTATCTGAGATAAAATCGAGAGCTCCTTCACTTCTGTCCTCATGACACGGTTATGTGTATCAGTGTCTGTGCATGTGTCTCCGTGAACATGCAGGTCACAGTGCATGACAGATTACATGCTTGTCTTCCTCTTCTCCGCGAGCACCTTCAGGAGCCCCTCTTATTCATCTTGGTGTTCCTAGTTGTAGCACACACAGTATCTTCTACGGAGATTGCTCAGTAAATACCTGGAATGGACATGATAGGAAAAAAAAAAACAGTAACCTCAGCTATAGACTGAAAACATGATAAAACTATTGACGTTGATGAAAACTTGGTTTAAGAGAATTTTTGAGCTAGAAAGACCCAGAAGAGGTACGTAATCTCAACCTTTCATCTTATGGGTAAGGAAAAGTGATTAAATCTCTTACTTAACATCCCATAGCCAGAATCAGATAATCATTTGGAATTAGTTGGAAAAAATATTGGCTTCAGATGTAATAAATTTTCCAGAAGATTATTAACTAATTCTGGAAATGTTGCAAAAACAATTCAATTAACAGAAATCTAGAGGTGCCTGGGTGGCTCAGTTGGTTAAGTGTCTGTCTGCCTTCGGCTCAGGTCTTGATCCCAGGGTCCTGGGATGGAGCCCTGAGTCAGACTCCCTGCCCAGTGAGGAGTCTGCTTCTCCCTCTCCCTCTGCCCCTCCCCCTGCTCGTGCTCCTACGTTCTCTCTCTCTCTCAAATAAATCTTTTAAAAAACAAAACAAAGAGGGGCGCCTGGGTGGCTCAGTCGTTAAGCGTCTGCCTTCAGCTTGGGTCATGATCCCAGGGTCCTGGGATCGAGCCCTGCATCAGGCTCCCTGCTCAGCGGGAAGCCTGCTTCTCCCTCTCCCACTCCGCCTGCTTGTGTTCCCTCTCTCGCTGTGTCTCTCTCTGTCAAATAAAAAAAACAAAATCTTTAAAACAAAACAAAGCAAATCTACTTGGCAACATACTTTACAACTCACTTCGTCTGGTCCTATGAACTGGGTATAGCTAGTTACAGGAGAAAGCAAATAATTGGTTAAAAATCCTTAATTTTTGCAATATGGAAGCAGGATAAGGTTCTGAGCGGCCTGCTTCACCATTTTTTGCCATCTGGTGCTGAGAACAAGGGTCTTATTTCAAAGCCTTTTTCTGCAGTGCACTCTGAGACATCGCTGGGGGAGCACAAAGTGATTCAAACCTTCTGGCGGGGAACTTGGCACTGTTTCCTAAAAATTGCAGAACTGATCTTTTGACATAGCAGTGTCACTCTGGGAATCTCTCCTACGAAGACACCCATATGTGTATAAAGGGGCCCGGGTACAAGTTTTTCACTGCAGGACTACTTTGTAATAGCAAAAGTTTGGAAACCATCCAGGTCTCCAGCAAAAAGGAACTGAGGGAGTCGTGATGGTATGTCTACACGATGGAATATTACAGAGCCATTAACCAGAATAAGGAAGATCTTGGATGTGGAAATACTTCTGGGATGTATTATTAAGTGAATAGAAGCAAGATACTGAAAGGTTTCTGTGGTACTCTTCACATGTACAAAAGGGGATGGGAATAAGAACATATGTTATCTTTATTTTCTGTCAGTGTACTAACTATTTAAAAAGAGCCCCAATAATTTAAAAAGAGAGAAAAAAGGAAAGAAAGAGTAAAACACTGCACAGCTGACCACATCACCTTCCCCCATGGCAGGCTTCCTACTTACTTGAGGGGTGGGGATGGGGAGAGATTCAGCTGGAATCTGAATTTGGACTTTTGACAAGTACATGGAACAGGACATCCTCATTGCTTTTTTGAGACTGTTGGTGTTGTCTGCCAGGGTTCTTAACCTTTTTTTATCGCAGGCTGATAAACCCTATAGATCCCTTTTAGAGTAATGTTTGTTTGTTTTGATATGTTTTCTTTTTTTTAATTCAAGTTAGTTAACATATAATGTAGTATTGGTTTCAGGACTAGAATTTAGTGAGTCATCACTTCCATATATCATCCAGTGCTCATCCCAGCAAGTGCCCTCCTTAATGCCCATCACCCATTTAGCCCATCCCCCCACCCTCCTCCCCTCCAGCAACCGTCAGTTCTCTATAGTTAAGAGTCTGTTATGGTTTGTCTCCCTCTCTGTTTTTATCTTATTTTAATTTTCCTCCCCTCACCCTATGTTCATCTGTTTTGTTTCTTAAATTCCACATATGAGTGAAACCATATGGTATTTGTCTTTCTCTGACTTAGTTCACTTAGCATAATACACTCTAGTTCCATCTATATTGTTGCAAATGGCAAGATTTCATTCTTTTTGATAGCTGAGTAATATTCCATCATACATATATACACCACATCTTCTTTATCTGTTCACCAGTCAATGGACATTTGGGCTCTTTCCGTAATTTGGCTGTTGTTGATAGTGCTGCTATAAACATCGGTTGCATGAGCCCCTTCGAGTCAGCATTTTTGTATCCTTTGGATAAATACCTACTAATGCAATTGCTGGGTTGTAGGGTAGCTCTATTTTTAACTTTTTGAGGAATCTCCATACTGTTTTCCAGAGCAGCTACACCAGTTTGCGTTCCCACCAACAGTGCAAAAGGCTCCGCTTTCTTCACATCATCACTAACACCTGTTGTTTCCTGACTTGTTAATTTTAGCCATTCTGATAGAGGTGAGGTGATACCTCATCATGGTTTTGATTTGTATTTCCCTGATGATGAGTGATGCTGAGCATTTTTCCATGTGTCTGTTAGCCATTTGTATGTCTTCTTTGGAGAAATGTCTGTTTATGTGTTCTGCCCATTTCTTAACTGGATTATTTATTTTGGGGGTGTTGATTTTATTGAGTTCTTTATAGATTCTGGATACTAGCCCTTTATCCACTAGGTCATTTGCAAATATCTTCTCCCATTAGAATAATGTTTCTAAATGAATAAAATAAAATACATCAGGTTATAAAATACATAGGAAGGCTGTTTGAGCAGAGAGGAAGCAGCACGAGTGAAAGCCCAGAGAATAACCCTAGCCTAGCTCAAATGCGGGCCCCACGGGGAAGAGGAAGAGGCTGAGGAGGTGGGCTTACCCTGCAAGCTGAAGTTCACCATCTGCATCTACCCGTGTCTTTCCAGGTATCATTCTCCTCTTTCCTTTTTTTTTCTTGTTCTTTTTAAAAATATCTCCTGAAACAACTAACAATGCTAACCAGCCCTTAGTAGGGACTTTATTAACAGTGGCACTTACAGTTGTTCATTCCTGCTGATGACCACTGTCTTCATTAAGGGTTCATGACATAGTCCATATTAAGGCTGACAAAGAGCCAGTTATATTTGGGCATTAGCAGGTTGCCGTAGTTGAAGGCATAACATACATGGTAAAGCAAACAGAGCCTTCCTACTAGGCAGTTAGACCCAAAAGGGCCCCACACACGAATAGGAAATCAGTACCTCTTTGCTGGATGGATGGTAGTTGTATGAAATGACTTCTTTGTATTTCATTAATTCCTTAAGGTGTTTTAAAGGCATTTCTGCTATATTTGTGTATTGTCTTAAGAATTGTCAAGTTTCTCTCTTCTGGACTCTTAATTTTGAAGTTGTTTTGTAGAACTTAGAAGTCTCAGAAGAGTCAGCTCAGAAAACTGCCTTTCTTAGTAATTGAAGAAAACAAAAGTCAGCTTCACTGTTCATTGTGGTCATAGGTAAGTCACCTTTGTGTGTATCTCCCCTTCTATCTCCCTTGATATTTAATAAGTAACTTGGGAACATTGATAATGTAGAGTCAAGGCCATGCATTTGTTTGACCTGTAATCCTCTCTCTTATTTGACCTATTTATACATACCTTCTAAATTTAATCAGTAAAATGTCAATTATTTGAGAAATGCAGATCAAAAAGTTCTTGATCTTAATGCCTAGAATTTTAAACACAAGGAAGTGAATACAGACAGCTTTCTTTCTTTTTTTTGTTTAATATTTATTTATTTGACAGAGAGAGAGGATGCTGGAGAGATCACAAGCAGGGGGAGCAGCAGAGGGAGAGGGAGAAACAGGCACCCCACTGAGCAGGGAGCCTGACATGGGGCTTGATCCCAGGACCCTGAGATCATGACCTGAGCCGAAGGCAGACGCTTAACTGACTGAGCCACCCAGGTGCCCCTACAGACAGCTTTCAAAATCAGAATCTAAATTAACATTTCAGGGATGCCTGGGTGGCTCAGTTGGTTAAGCGTCGACTCTCGATTTCGGCTCAGGTCATGATCTCAGGGTCGTGAGATCGAGCCCTGAGTCGGGCTCCGTGCTGGGCATGGAGCCTAATTAAGATTTTCTCTCTCCCTCTCCCTGCCCCTCCCTCCCACCTCTCTCTCTCTTAAATAACATTTCAGCGTTTCATTTGGCTGGAAAGAAGTCTTTTCATGGGGTTTTAAGTTTTGTAAAAAGGTTCATTGACTGGGGCACCTGGCTAGCTCAGTCCATGGAGCATGTGACTCTTGGTCTCAGGGTTGTGAGTTCAAGCCCCACGTTGGGTGTAAGCATTACTTAAATATAAAATCTTTAAAAAAGAAAAAAAGATTCATTGATGTAGTAAACACTTTCTTGATCTGGGCTTCCTTCTATCAAACCTGCATTTCAAATGCAAAGTTTCTTCAGAATCCAGTTTGGTAACATCTCAAGAAGACTGTGAAAGCAGTAAGTGTAGGTAGCCCTCTTCCTCTCTCCTGTTCTTTCTCTCTCTTTGCTGAGAAGTTTTCATATTTATGGTATTTTGCATGACCTTATGTAGATAAAAATCAGGATGTATAGTTAATTTTTTAGAGGCTGGGAACTTAAAGAGCACACCACCCAATGCTCTCTTTGCCTTGGTTTTATTAATTCTGTGTTTCCTTCCTGCAGAAGCTGATTTCTCATCTTTGGAAGGCAGGAAGCAGACATCAATACCTAATACTTAACCTTGAAAACAAAAAGGGGATTGTAATCCTTTGTAAGGAACATTTAATACCAAACGGAAGCAGAAACTGAAAGTTAATTTTTCAACATCTATATTTTATTTGTTTTCAAGCTGACCGTTTTCATGTTGAAGAAATTTTTTTTTTACGTGTAAGAAATAGACCTTACTGTGTATTATCTATATACAAACTCGGAATTATGCTCAGAGAGAAAAGGACTTCTCTGTAAAGATGCAGACTACAGTTAAATACTAGAGAAGCTCTTTAAAAGTGTGGACATCCAATAGAGAATCCCTGCATGTAAAATGCTGTTTTTAACTATCTGATTGTTTAAAAACCTGTGCATACATTTAAATTATAACCAACAGCTTCTCAAGAGTCAGCTGCAGATATATGAGTAGTAGTAGTCTCTTCTTTTGTGGCTTTAGCCCTGAACTTTGCTGTGTAAAATAGACATAAAATGATATGATACAAAATATTTTAACCAGAAAGTATCTCCTCAGTTACTGACAATTGAGGTCCTTCTGTCCCAAAGCTGAACAGAGCCCCATCTCGTCTGGGTCTGTAGTAAGTCCCATCTACTTACACAAACAAAAGCTTGCTGGAAGATCAAGTTTTATATGCCTTTTTTTTTATCATTAAAAACCAGAACACTTCCCTTTTAACTTATAATTTAATTTTTTAAAGAATATACTATGTGCATTTCTGTCCCTTCTAAGAGAATTGATCAGCTTCATTCAATAAAAAATATTTTTAATAAGAAAGAAAAAAATAATTTTCTTGGGTTTCTTTTTATTATACAGGAGCAAAATAAGGAAGGTTATTCCCTTGAAACCGAACCTGGCAAGTTAATTTCCTCGGGAATGGGAATGTATTTTTTTTTAAGCATTGCAGATATCAAGGTTCCGTTGTGCTGTATGAATGCCCCTTTGTTGAAAGGTTTCAGTGCTACTTCAGAGATGATTTTCCTGAGAGTGGAGGAGCCACCCCATTTAGCCTTTTAATTAGGGTGCTGAAAAGAGAAATTGGGTGAGGTTTGGCTGTGTTCCTTATAAATGCTTGCTTTCTCCCTCAGGCACGGCCGGTTTGTATAGAAGAAGTCTGAGAAAGGTAGAGTTGATTCTGAGCTGTTGGAAACCTAAAATGTCCCTGGAGAGGCTCATTTCCAGTCTGAGAAACAAAATATGAAAATTTCTCCTCTTTATGCTAGGTTCGTGGCTACATGTCATCTTGCCCAGTGAAAAGAGAAGGAGGAGAACACTGATGAAATGCTAAGAAGTAGGAAAATTTCAGGGGACTAAAGAATGAAAAGTCAAAAATTATTTTGTGGCTAAATGTATTGGAGCTCATAGGATTACCGTATCTACTGCACCCATCTTACCCCACACGTTATTGTGAAGTATAGCACATATAACTAAAAAATGGGGAATCTTAATATTATTACCAACTTATCTATCTCAGCCTAAGTTATTTAAATACATGAGCAGTTTCTGTTATGGAGAGTCAGCCCTTGGTCTGTTTGAAAGAGTTGCGAGATAAAACTGAACATTTATATTTTGTCATCAGCATTCTTCCATCTTGAGAGGAATAGTACTGTAATTCACCTGCCAGAAATTATCTCAGCCATCAGAAGAGACTGGTGTAATTTTAGAATTTGTGGACAGGTCTTCTAAAGTGAAATAGAAATACCCCCAAAGGAAGAAATTCTGAATCAAGATAATACGTAAACACTAAAAACAGTTTTACCTAAAAAGTTATAGTAGAAAAGCATGGTATTGAGAGGCTCAGTGGGGTGAGGTTGGTTTAGACGAAGAAACCAGACACATTAATCAGGACCACAACAGAAAAGGTAAGTTAAAAACCAGAGTGGTGTTATATGCAAACAGTCATGGAACACTACATCAAAAAAATAAATAAAAATAAATGAATAAATAGATAGGGAAACAACAACAACAAAAAACCCAGAGTGGTCTTTGAGAGGAGTTTATCAAATGAGGAGGGCACATTAATCAGTCCTATAAAGGATGATTTCTGGGTTCTCAGCCAAATGCACACTTAGGACATCTAACAAAAAACAAAATAATTTGAGCACACAGTAAATACTGCTTTGCTGGCCACTGGAGACACAACAGTGAGCAAAGAAGACTGAATCCTTGTTTACAGTGAAGGAGACAGACCTTAATTAAATAATCACAAATAGTTCATGAAAAACTGGTAAGTGCTATGAAATAAAGCTTGGAGCTACCGTGACAACATACATCAGGGGCTTAGGTCAAAGGCGGAGTCTTCAGGGAAGGCTTCCCTGAACTAAGCTGAAAGATAAGTAGATGCTAACCAGCAAACAGGAAGTGGAAGAGCATTCCTCACAATGGTAATAGCATACGCAAAGGCCCTAAGGTGGAAAGGAGCATGATGCATTTTCAGACCTGATGGACTAGGATGGCGTAAGATGAAGCTGGACTAAGAGGTTGGTGCCAGATCATACACACGTGTCAGTGAGGCAGTGTGGGGATTGCAGCTCCATCATTTCAGTAAGCCCAATGATGTAAACCCTACTGTTCGTCTTTCTTGGGTTTTCCTTGAAATGAGGTCTTCGTAACCCAAATCCTTTGCCTTTGTAGTAGCCTGCAGGAAGCGTGAAAACAGCCCTGGAGATACACCAAAATGGCACCCTGATTCTGATGACATGGAGAATCTCAGCTGACCAGTGACAGAGCCAGTGCTAGAACCAGGTCTCCTGCCCGAAGATGCTACCAGAGATGAACCTCGACAAATTCAGAGTGGGGAAGCTTATACCCTTGTGTCCCACGCTGCTCGTTTTATAAAACTAAGCCATATGTTAAAGTGTACCAAATTATGGGGGGGTTATTTGCTCACTTTCTCAACCCTGCATTTCACACACATTTATTGAACATTGCTGATGTGCCAGGCACTGCTAGGCACTGAGGTTATAAAATGGAGTAAGAGGATGTGGTCCTTGCCCTCCAGGGGCTCAAAAGCTAACATACAAGCAGTATACATTATAATTAATTAGAGATATTTTAGTGCTCTCGGGACCCCAGTAACCAACTATTATTAAAAAGAGAGGTAGTTGGTTGCTAATGTTAAGTCACTGTGGCAGATGTTCTCAACCCAGAGGGGTCGTTACCTGGTTTGAAAGAAGATGCTGTGTTAAGTATGAAGTTCACAGGATAACTTGCTTTTGTTCGATGTGGAAAAAGGAGTCCGAGAAACAGCTGGTCTGGAGCCAGCAAGCCCCTTTACTGTGGTCATTTGACCACAGCTGTTGACTGGGGTGCTGGGGATTTAAAATGAAATAGTACACGTGAAGGATTTAGCTCAGTGCCTGGCAAATAATCAATAAATATTAGCCATTGTTATTCAGGTAAAGAGACCTTTCAGGGATTGGAAATTAGATAAAGCATGGTTAATTTCTTTTTGGTGGAGTTGGAAGAGAGCCTTGTCAAATACAGCTTTTCAAGTATCCAGTGTCAGTTTGGGGGCGGGCAGAGATTAATCCATGAAGTTACAGAAAGGGAGACCACTGTCAGGGGTATGTAGGCATCATACACTTCATACTCATCACTCCCTCTTCAAGGGAGTCTTTAGTACCTGTATTGGGTGATTTCACACCTATATCCTGAGAGGAAAACTGAGGACAGCAGAAACAAAATAACCATTTGATAGCATACACTTGGGAGAACTGTGAGATAAATACATATATATATATATATATATATTTTTTTTTTTTTTTTTACTTCAGTCTTGGATAATTTAAAAAGCAAACCAACAATAACGTTTTTAAAAGAATCCCACGACCTCCTCTGGCGTCTCTTCCATGCACTTTGATGGTCCAGCGCTGTGTTGTGTTCAGATCTGTCCGCAGGTTGTCCCGGCCCTGCCTGCCCTCCTCCCTTTGCAGTTCCTCGGCTCTGGCAAGGTGTCCGCATACGGAGCCTGCAGCCTCCGAAGATTCATCCCACAGCCCCGCGTTGATGACAGCTGCTGTTACGTTGGAGATACACCAAGCGGACGGCTTACTTGTTAGCATTTTCACACATGAATTAAGACTAAAAAAGGCAAAAAAAAAAAATGTCCAGTTGTGATTCCATTGGTCAGATTCATTGAGGCCAAGTTTTCTCCAGTTAGCCAGATCCTGCTCTGGTGTATACAGGACTTAGTGAGCCGGGTGGAGGATGTGGGCAAGGGGACTCGGCCCAGGGGGGTAGGCAGAGGTGTGGAGGGGCTGGGGGCCGTGGCCAGGGCACCGCCCAGCGAGGGGCGGGCCAGGGGGCGGGGCGAGCGAGGGGGAGGCCCGCGCCCCCCGCGCGCAGGGCCAGGGGCGGGAGCAGGGGCGGGGCGGCTGGGCGCCCTGCGGCGGCCTCGCGGTGCCTAGGTTGGGGCGGGCATCCGTGACGCTCAGTCGCGCGGAGCCGGGCCGGGAGCGCGAGCGGCGGTGGCGGCGGCGGCGGCAGGATGAACAGCATCAAGAGCGTGCCGGCGCGGGTGCTGAGCCGCAGGCCGGGCCACAGCCTGGAGGCCGAGCGCGAGCAGTTCGACAAGACCCAGGCGAGCGGCGGGGCCGCGGGCGGGCGGGCGCCCTCTCCCCGGTCCCCTAGCACGCGCCTCCCGGGGCCTGGCCGGTGCGCGCCTCCGCAGCTCCCGGGCTCGGGCCGCCCCCGGCCACCTTGCGCCGGGGCCTCCGCCCCCCGAGCCGCCCCGCGCTCAGGTGAACCGGAAGCGCGCGCCGGCGACGGGGCCGAGAGGCCGCCGGGGGACTGAGGTAGCGGGGTCCCGGGGGCTGGGGGGAGGCAAGTGGCTTGGGAGCGAGGTGGCGGGCGACCCAGGTGGAGGGGGCCGAGGTGGCCGGGGGGCGAGGTGGAGGGCGACCCAGGTGCGGGGCGAGGGAGGATGCGGCGGTGAGCCAGGTGGGGTCAGGTGTGCCCGGGCCTAGGTGCGCCTCCCGGCGGGGCCTGCCTGGATTTCTCTGCCCTGGCCGTGCCACCCCTCCCCGGCTCCGGCAGACGGGCTCCTGCCACCTTCTTCCAGGCCGTGTGAAAATGCTCCCACCTCGGGGAAGCAGAGCGTTTCCTTGAAGGAAACTCCCAGTTTCCTCTTCGCCTGAGCTGTTTTCCAGGCCCGCACAGTATCTTATTATATGCTGGGCGAAAAGTTTCACGTATGTAGCCAGACTTGTTTGAGCGCTGGCCCACATATAAATAGGTTCACACCCCCTTATTAAATACGGGCGCCTGACAGAAACTTCCTAGGGCTCCCTTCCTGCGCTTCCCACGCGCCTATCCTGGGAAAGGTTATTTTCAAAATTCAGCAATGGCGCGGGTGTGCATTGGTACATGTGTTCCTGCTGAGAACACAGAACGCTGTCGCTGCTGGGCTTCTGGTTTTCTGTTCCTTTTTATTTTACAAGTACTGAGGTGTTCTTATGCCTGGGGGAGGGGAGAACACGCTTGTTTATTTGCCAAAGTAAGTCAACCAAGACTGAAATAGCAGAACAATTTTGCTTTACAAATAAAGGAAGCTGAAAGGACCCCTCCTGCCCCTGTCTGAAGCCCTATGGTGTCATTTGTGGCTGGTTGCTGTACCAAGTTCCTTCCCACCTGTCCCTGCCCATAGCAGTGACTTCCGCAGTTGCTTTCAAATCAAGTTATCTACACACCACCGTCTACAACAGCTTTCATTTTGAAATAAGGAAAACTTGGGGCGCCTGGGTGGCTC